ATTGTGGACCAATCCCAAATCAGCACATCACTGTTAGCTCCAGGCCTGAATCTCAACTCAAAGTTGCTTTTAAATGTTAGAGTTGGTGAAACGATACAGAGACTTAGGAGGTTGCATATCACCCACCACCTATACCATATTTTTAAAGTAATAACATCTTATGCAGAGAAATTAAGATCAGATAAAGTAAAATCTTAAAAACAATGATAAAGATAAGATGTGATTTCTTGAAATTGTGTGCAAGTAATTTATTTACACTAATAAGAGTATGGGTTGCAGATAAGTCTCAGCCATTTCCACATTAAGTTTTTGTGAAATATTTGTAAAAAAAAAAAAGTGTTATAGTTATGTTTGTGTTTGCTAAGTTGCATAAGTGAAAGCAGCCATCTTGAACTGGACTGTCTCCAAACAATAATCAGTTGTAGATGTGTATCCAATACTTACAAAGTACTTTCTGTAAATTTCATTAAAATCTGTGGAGAGGTTCATGAAATATTTTGCTAACAGAACAGCAGGGTTGAAACCAAGAAGTAATTCCAAAGTTTTAAGGTTGTTTTTTTTTGTGTGTGTGTGTGTGTGTGTGTGTGTGCAATGTTTTGTGATCAAGTCACATGTGTTGATGAACATTATCAACTACCATAACACCAAATCCCAGTTTCATTACTGCAAAATTGGCTAAGCTATAGCTATTTTTGTGTCTTTTAAGGTCAGTTGGCTGGGACAGCCATTTTGAACTGAACTGACTGCAAAAGGCAATCTGTTATAGAGGTAGAGCTAATATTTACTTTCTGAAAGTCTCATTTGAATGCATCCAGTGGTTCATGAGATATTTTGCAAACAGACAGACAAACACATAAGGTACCATAACTATCTGCCTTTCTGAAGGGGGCAATAATTATCCTAGACATACTATCGTCATTGATTGAATTGAACACTGACACAAAACAAAAACTCTTATAAAGATGTTTATGTATTTATTTAAGCAAAAAGTATATTTCTGTTGTTTCTGGGAAGGCTCCAAACAGTCTGTCACTCTCTAAATGTACTCCTCTATTCCTCCTCAGATCAGTCTCAATTTAACAATAATGAAATAGTGTCTAAGTCAGGAAGTATCTTTAGCTTTGAGTGCTAAATTAGCTGTGGCATGTCCAAGGAGCCACAGGGAAAAAGGCCAGCGAGCTGAGGGGTCACCTGCAGCTCAGACCTCTTACTGCTCCTGCACCTGCGACAACCCCAGAAACACAAACACCAACCACTCCGCTTTCTGCTTCGTTTCAACGATAAAGGCATTGTGTCTAATCTTACAAAACGGCGGTTGCTAAAGGTTAGCTTAAAGTGAAATGTGGACAGTCTCCATACATGGTGCAGACACAGTGTGATCTAAGAAAGAGGTCAAAGAAAATGTAAATATATATATATATATATATATATATATATATATATATATATATTTATGATATTTTGTATGGAATACATGCAGATACTCTAGGTGCATGATAAAGTCCAAACAGCCCCAAACAATTACATAAATCACACAAGTGTTTGAAATAAATACCAGCTAATAGCTTGTAATCCTCTCACACTCGTAAAGCCCCAAAACTTAATTAGCTAAATGAAAGGTAGAGTCCCTCCAGTATAGCTCTACATCTGAGCCATTTCCTTCATTAAATTGCTCTCAGATGCTGGGGAAAATTAGACAAAGCCTTTTTTTTTTTTGTTTTTTTTTTTTTTGCTTTAGCTAAACATTGAACTGCATAATTTTAAGCTAGCTTTTGTGTTCAGGACTTTGTTTTCATCTCATCATATTACTACATCTGGTTTGGATGTTGTTTGGCTCACATGCATGTTCATGCTGATCTCATCTGGTTTAATAATCCAGAAAAAGCAGATGCAACAAATGTTTGTTAAGACACTTGATCATTTTGACCCATCTATGTAAAGAGCACAGGCATTAACCAACACTAGTCAGTTATAGATGGACACTAAGTGGACACTTAATTATTTATGTCCATGATGTAATTAACTCCTGAGCTCAGACAGCTACTTTATTAGACGTAATAATCTTATTTTTCAATAAGGATTAGAGACACACTACTAATGCTAGTGTCTGGTGATCTGTGTTGTCAACACAAACCAGTCTAAAATGGACAAATCCATGGGTTCACAATTTAAACTCATTCTGATTCTGA